CACCAGCTCGCGTTTATTTGTAGCTCAGTTGTGTCATGCTAAGCCGTGCAGTTCCATTTTTTTTTTCTTAAAATAGTGTTAGATGGTATTGGTTTGACGCTCTTATCAACACTATTAGGTTATTTAACCTCTCAACTGCTGTGCTGATGTATAATATACTCACTCGTGTGTTTTATCTCATACCCGTGTTGGTGGGTGGTTGGCGGGTGCTCTGGAGTGGCTTGCTCCTTCTTTCTTATTAAACATCTGCTGTCCTTATCACACCTCCTTCTTTTTTTGTGTTTGTTACTCTCTTGTAACACCTCTAATCTTCGGCACTTACATGACATAATTGTGTTGCAAGTGCCGTAAAACTCTTACTAAAACTAACAATACCCTCGTCTCTGCCATTTTATCTACTGGTTTACGTGAAAAGTATTTAGATCTAGGTGTAATAACGATTGAGCAGTAATTTGTTTCAAATAAAGGAAATATTCTTTCCCTGTGTTTAAATCGCTCTTGAATGAACTTTTTATCTTGTTTCTGCACACTTCGTTGAAAGTATCTCAGTAGCGAAGAGATTAAGAGGCGGGACCTTCCGAGCTTAACGTCCATCTCCGAAATGACAGAGCTAAAAAGGATATTCGTAAAGACTTATTTTCCTAAAGACAAATCGTCGGACCGAGCTGAGGCTCGAACACTGAACTCGCAATCTGACAATAACAGGTCCGGTTGCGTAACCACAAGGCAACCAACACCATTAAAAAGAATAGGGTTGACGTCACGATGCACTAGTGTGTCGTACGAGGTGACCACATGGTCCAGTAAATAGTGAGTTGAAGCTACCCGGTACCGAAACTGGGTCGTCTGACTCTCCAGGCTGGGGATTTGGTCATGGGTGTTGACAAACTTCCGTTCGTGAAAATTGTGAAATTATAAAGGTTTTAACGCCCCTATCAACACTATTATTATGTTATTGAAGAGACAGGGCCTCCGGTTTTAATGCCCCTCTCCGAAAGGACCGAGCCAATTGGGAAATTAGTGTAAAGTGCCTTTCCCAAGGACACAACGTTGGACCGAGCTGAGGCTCGAATTCCCAAACCCGAAATCTCACTATTGCCAGTCAGCTAGTCTAACACTAGGCGCCAGGCAGTCGATACTACCACTTCCCCCTCGTAAAAAAAGAAAATGGGACGGAAACCCGTAGTCTCTACAGGAGATAATTATAATTATATTAAACATTAGGAAACCATGGAGCTTCTTCAATGTCATGAAGAATGTCATATAACTTGGGTCAGTTAGGAAAGCTTACTCAAAACAGAAAAGGATAGAAATCATTTGTCCAAGAGTGCATGAAGAGCATTGATGATGATGATGATGATGATGATGGTGATGATGATGATGATGATGATGATGATGATGATGATGATGATGAGGATGATGATGATGAGGAGGAGGAGGAGGAGGAGGAGGA